CTGAGTGTCCCCTGTGTCACCAGAACAGTGCTGAGTGTCCCCTGTGCCACCATGGCAGGACTGAGTGTCCCCTTGTGCCAACGTGGCAGTGCTGAGTGTCCCCTGTGCCACTGGGGGGTGCTGAGTGTCCCCTGTGCCTCCAGGGTGATCCTGACTGTCCCCTGTGTCACCCAGGCAGTGCTGAGTGTCCCCTGTGCCACTGGGGGGTGCTGAGTGTCCCTTGTGCTACTGGTGCAGTGCTGAGTGTCCCCTGTGCCCCTGGGCAGTGCTGATGTCCCCTCCTTGTCCCCACAGTTCCTGGATGACCCGGGGCTGAAGAACGACATCCGGAACAAGCCGGTGCAGCTGCCCCTGGCGCACTCGGGCTGGCTCTTCAAGGAGGAGGTGCCAGAGCAGGAGGACACTCAGCCATGGCTGCCTGCAGCCAAGGAGGAGAAGATGGAGCTGGACCCGCCAGCAGTGAAAGGTGGGGCTGGGCTGGGAGAGGTAAAACCAGCAAGAACTGCTAACTCTTGTATCTGAGTATAAAACCTCAGTCTCCTCACTTTCAAAGTGTAGAAGGAGACTTTCAAAGGATTATAGTAACCCAATGCTCTTAGGAGCCACTCATCCTGGTGCAAATCCAAGTAATGGACCTCTCACTAGTCCTAAACACATTCACACCCATTCAAACCCCAGTAACCCTCTCCACCCCCATCCTATTTCCTCTTCTATCCAACAACCTCAAGAACACCCCCAGCACAATCACAAACACAATCAAAACCTCCTTCTTAATCAGCCTAATCCCAATAACAATGCACATCCACTCTGGAGCAGAAAGCCTCACTTCCTTCTGAGAATGAAAATTCATTACAAACTTCAAAATCCCCATCGGCCTAAAAACAGACTTCTACTCCCTCACCTTCTTCCCCATTGCACTGTTCATATCATGATCTATCCTACAATTTGCAGCATGATACTGTAGGGGTCTGTGGCCTCAGACCCCTACATTACAAAATCT